CCAGCATTTGTTATTGGTTGATTTCATGGTAGCAGCCATTCTTTCTGGAGTGAGGTGGAGTCTCAGCATTGTTTTCATTGCATCTCTTGAATGACCAATGATGTTGAACATTTTTTCATGTTTATTTGCCATTTCTACTTTGAAGAGATTATTTTTTTAAAAGTAAATATTTAGAGAGGAAAGAATGATCACTGTGTTTTCTAACATTGTGACAAAGTACCTGGGAGAGTCAGTTTAAGGAGGAAACGTTTATTGTAACCCCCAGTTTCAGAGATTTCAGGCCATGTGGTCAACTGCTTTGTTACTGTGGGACTGAGGTGAGGACATCGTGGCAGAAGACCATAGTGAGCAAAGCTGTTTACCTCATGACGGGGGAAGTAGAGGTAAAAGGGAAGAGCCAGAGAGGAAAGGACTTGGGACAGATACAGTCCTTGGATCATGCCCCATCACCTGCTCCTTTCAGCTAGGCTCTACCTCCAGTTTCCATCACTGTTCAATAAGGCCATCAAATTAAAATCTCACCACTGGATGAATCCACGACTGACGTTAGAGCCCTTGTGACCCAATCATTTCTTGAGGGCTCATCAGCTGGCAACCAAGCTGTCAACACAATAAGCCTTCTGGGGGACATTTTAAATAATAACTGTAACAGTCACCATGATTCATTGTGAATTCATAAGAACAAGACATACCAAACTGTGCTCTATTTTTTTTCTTTCCAGTTTTGTAATTACTGGATTAGAGAATAGTAAAGACATGTTGTATCTTGACTTTAGCAAGTAGTTGACAAAGTCTCCTTATAAAATAAATGATGAAAAAAATAAATGATGAAATGTGGGTAATTAGACAATTTACAGGTGTTCACTTGGCCACACCCATGCCAGCGTGCCATAGGGTTTATCCAAATAATAGCTAGTTGTTACACTGATTCGTCAAAGAGAATTGGTGGTAAATATTAATTTGCATATGTTCAGAAAGTAGAGATTTGTAGTTCTGAGTTCTTTTGACTAAGGATTTATATATTGAAACTTGTACCTGATATATTTATATGTTATAGACATTTCTAGTCAAGCTGTGTATTTGTTACTAGCAACTACATTGACCTCAAGTGGATGTTTTTCATACTCTTGAGATGGCAAATTTCTGTAAACTAACATAAAAGGCACAAGTTCAGTACATAGATGTTCTCAGTAGGATCTTTTTTAATTAGTGTTTCTGCTGGCCTTCAGTAATACCACAGTTAGCTGCTTATTCAGGATATTTATACTTTTTTAAAAAGAACTACAAGCCCGGCATGGTGATAACATGCCTGTAATATCAGGCTTGAGTAGGAGGATTGCAAGTTTGAGCCCAGCCTGGACAATTTAGTTAGATCCTGTCTCAGAATTTAAAAAAATTTGTTTTTGATACTGGAGATCGAACTCAGGTCCTTGCGCTTGTGAGGCAGGTGGTGGAACCACTGAGCTAAATCCCTGGCCCAAAAATTTTTTTTAAAAAGGCTATTGATGTAGTTCAGTGCAAAGGCTTTGGGTTCAATCTCCAGTACGAGAAAACAACAGCAGAGGGAACCAAAATATTCTGTCCCCTTAGGAAGGTTCTTTTGGATTTTTGAGACAAGGAAGTCCATGATGGCTCCCATGTGTGGCTTTTTTTTAGAAAAATTTTTTTTCCATTAAGTTTATTGGTACATTTTAGGTGTCAAATACAGTTACATTCATCATTGGGATTTTGTACTGTTACATGATGTATCTTGGTTCTTATTTTTTTCCCCTTCCCTTGCCCTCCCTTCACCCCCTCCACCCTTCCCTATTTGCAAAGACTTTGTTTCCATTTTTTTCGTTTTCTCATATTTTTT